AATTGCTACAAGGTCTTTCCAAAGCATGACCATAAGAGCAGTATAATATTTTTCTTTCTGTCTCTGAATATGTGTTTGTGTATATACACATGCACATTATATATGCTATATGCTTTTTTTATAAGCTTTATTTCTAATTTTGGCAGATTGGACTTTGTTTTTCCTAGAGGATGGGGAAAAATACTGGAGGATAATTTTGATCCCTTTTTCACTAAAATTACAGTGTGAGGGAGAACATTAAAAAAAAAGAAAAAAAATTATTCGGAATATATAAATTCCAAATTAAACTCTTAAATTCAAGAGGGCAACTGAGAAATTACCATCAGCTCCCTTTTTTGTTACCTTGGAGGCAACCAAGATCATCCTACTAAAGTTTGATGACAAGATGAAAAATTGTGTCAAGATTTTATGTATTTAATTGTTCGTCAAATTTATGTAGCTACCCAGCTCATGACCTTTTTTTTTTTAAATCTGAATTTTCCAATTATTTTTGGTATAAAATTACAATAAATGGGTAAGCTAAATTTATAAAATAATTAAAGCTCTTTAAAAATGGAGGGGAAAATAAACATCTTCCATCGGTTGCATTATGTTATTCTTATACTTTGTGTCAGATTGGATGCATATATTTATTTATCTACTTATTAGAATATAATTGTCCAACACAAACATTACTGTACATAAGAAATACTGCCCACCTAGCAATTTATACAAATGTGAGGAGATAAAAAGGTACAATTTTGGTGGAAAGGTAACATTTTGTGTGCCTTTGGCTTACAGTCACGGGTGGGATTCTACCAGTTCATACCTATTTGCTAGAACCGGTTGTTAACATTCTAAGCAGTTTGGAGAACTGGTTGTTAGAAGAAATTACTGGCCTAATGCTGCAAGGAAGGCAGGAAGGAAACATTCTGGTGTTGCTTACAGAAACTGCCTCTCTGTTAACCTTTATTACATTCTTGGCAGGACTAGACTTCCTGTCTCAGGAAATCTCTGGAGTTTATTTCCCCTCCTTTGGTACTTTGCTTGTGTGGAGTGACCATTCAAAGTTACAGTGGCACTGAAAAAAAGTGACTTATGACCATTTTTCACACTTACGACTGTTGCAGCATCCCCACAGTCATGAGAGGCCAGGCAAGGAGGCCTCAATGTGAGTGATATTGAGTTGGCGACACCCAGCCAATAACATGACCACCAAGCCATGCCCACCAACTAAGCCATGCCCACAGAACCGGTTGTTAAAAAATTTGAATCCCACCGCTGCTTAGTCATTCTGGCCATAGAAATGTCTTCAGACAATGCTGCCCCCCTCAGCTAAGAGTTGAGCCTCAGCCCCTAGAGTCAGACCCAACTGGACAGGGGAAACTTTTACCTTTAGGACGTCAACCTGTTCTTACAGTCTCATGTGATCAAATAGTCAGCAGCATTATCATTTCTGACAATGGTACCAATTAGACAGAAAATAGCAATGGGAAGCTTTGTTATGTTTTTTGTTTTTCTAAAGGGTGGCAGGAACAAATAAGCAATAAGAGAGGTTGACATTCTTTTTCCACACCAT